AATCAATAATTCAAATTTTCACCCTAAGAATCTAGAAAGAGAAGAGAAAATTAAACCCAAAGTAAGCATAAAGATGAAAATAATAAAGAACAGAGATGAATGAAATAGAAAATTTAGAAAAAAAGAGGGAAAACCAATAAAGCCAAATAAAACCAATAAATTAGAAGACTTACGTTACCTGATTTAGAGACTTCCATAAAACTATAATAATCAAGAGAGTGCCAGTATTGGTAGAGAGACAAACATACAGATTAATGGTTCAAAGTAGAGAATCTACAAATAGACCTGAACACATATGGTCATTGGAATTTCTACAAAATCATCAAGGTAATTCACTGGAAGGAGGTGTTGGAACAAATAGTGTTGGAACAAATATCTATATGGAAAATAAGCAGACAAAAAAAAAATCCTCGATCCTTCTCTCACAATACAAAAATTAACTTAAAATGATCTTAGATCTAATTTAAGAGTTGAAACTATAAAAATTCTAGAAGAAAATGAGATAAAATCCTTGTGATTTTTTGAGGTAAGCAAAGCTTTCTTAAGACACAAAAACCACAAAGCATAAAGGAAAAAAATGACAAATTGAACTTCATCAAAACTAAAAATGGTTGCTTTTCAAAATACACTTAAGGACATGAAAAAGCAAGCCACATACTAGGAGAAAATATTTGCAAAACATGTTTGATAAGGGAGTTTTGTCCAAAATAACATAAAGAACTTTTACAACTCTCCAATAAGATAAACAGCCCAAAGAAATAGGGCAATTGTGAACAGATACTCCATCAAAGAAAATATCAAAATGGCTTAGAAGCACATGAAAAGATGCTAAACGTCAGTAGTCATTGGGGAAATGCAAATTAAATGACATAAAATACACATCCATTAGAATGACTAACGCATAAAGAAGATTGACACTGTACCCACGGGGATGCAGGGAGGGGATTAACTGTACTGCAAAGGCACATGAGAGCACTTTGTAGACTGATGGAAATATTCTACATCTTAATTGTGTAGTAGCTATAGAAGGCTACATATTTGTCAAAACTGATTAAACTATAACACTTAGGTAGATTTTTAAACCACATACTGCTCTTCTCTTCATTCATCTACTATTCTGTGATTAGCTCTACCGCGTACATTCTAAGAATTTGCTCTACTGGGCAGTGAGGTCTCTAAGTGCCCTCAGGTGGTCTTTAGAGTTGAGCCGTAATGGATTTTATGGACTTTATGGCATCAAAAGGGGTAATTGCAGCTCTGTAAACATTCAGCTGAAAGCGTGCCTCGGAAGAGATTTGGGAGAGTTTGGGAAATGGACATTTATGGAAGAGCTTCAAGGCAGGACATATATTTTGAGAAATGCGATGGGCTGTCTGTTTCACTGAGAACCTGTTACTATTGTCCCTTGGTGTGGCTTACATCAGGCCTGAGTCTGTAACCCTCCCAATGAAAACATACTGAAACAATTTATAAAATTCTTAGTACTACATTTCTCACTCTCTACTGTGTAAATCAATGAATCTTTTTTTTTTTTTGTAGTTACTTCATCTTCCCTGTGAGAAAACTGAGGCTCAAAGAAAGTAAATGCCCAGAGTTGGTGCAGAGAAGTGGGAGGACAGGAACCTAAGTCCTTTTTATTAATTTCATAGATCTTTCCAGTGCCTGAGACAGAATTCCTACCCAACTTGTTTGTCTATTTTCAGACTTGAAGAATGGAATGTGAAAGTAGCTATTCTATTCTTCAACAAATAGCTATGATATGGTAAAGCTTCTAGGTTCTCTTATAACTTCAGCTTCACACTCTGGTGAAATATGTGAGTTGGAGTTCTTATAGAGGCAGAAATTTGCAGAGATTTTAATGTCAAAGTCCCTATTTCCAAAGCAACTGACTCTCACTGGGGTGTGGGGAGGGAGGAATAGGAGGCCCTCTGACCTTGAGGCAGCCAGCATGGTCCAGCTCAAGTATCAGCCAGAACAGCAGCCAACTTAATCCACCAAACAGGAAGACATTTCTCTGGAAATCCCTGTTCCCTGAACAGCTTCCTTTAAACACTTTGGACAAATTCTTCCACACAAGGCCACTAAGCCTCCTTAGGGAGGGAGGAAGGGAAACAGGGAAGGTCTTTCATTGTTGCTGGTCCCACTTTGGAAAAATCTAACTGCCACATATATTCCCAATAAAATACTCAGTTGTCCATGAGTGTAGGTTGTGGGAGTGGTTCTTGTCTTAACACTCAGATGTAATTTGCATGTAAGTTGTATAAGAGGAAGGGCAAAGGAGGGAAGCAGACTGGACTTGGAAATGGCCACAACAAGGCATGCCCAGGAGATGAGGCTCACAGAGATTGCTTTCCAAGGGCAGCTGACCCGCCTCTTTCCCACCTTATTACTGCCCTGTCCTCTAAGATTGACTAGGGTGTGATGTCACTTTTTCAAAATAAATGTAAACATTAATACATGAGGTAGATCAAACGTTATTTCTCCCAAACTCTCTTTGCATTGACTGAACATACAACAGTTATGGCCTAGAAAGGTGGAAACTTAGAGGGCAATTTTGCAGCTAAAGACCAGTTCATGTCTAGGGGCTTTCACGGGGTTTTCTGGGAGAAATAGAATGTTGCAGGATTCAAAGTGCCTCCTGCAGAAGAGTCTGTCTTCTGTGGGATTCAGTTTTGCCACAGGGATGAATCCAAACCTTGCTGAGAAATTTATTTTTTTTTTTTTTCAAGAATGGGTGGTGGGGGGAAGGCAACAGTGTTCCTCTGAATCCCAGGTGGCCACTGGTGGAGACTGCGGATGTCTGGTTTTTGCCACGACCAGTTTCTAACATATAATCTGCCTATGCAATTGGGTGAAGAGAGAAAGTACGGGAAAAAGTGGAGATTGTACGGTATCAGAAATCACAGGCAGCAAAGGCAAGAGCGGGTTTCACTGTGTGAATGGATGTGAAGAAGGCACTTGGAAACAGAACATCTGTCTTCTTAAAAGCCTGAAAGGGACTGAAGTGAGTTTGTAGATCAGTCGGTGAACCTGAAATGCTTGAGAGTCTCAGGCAACCTGATTCCCTGACACATAGTAAAGAGAGGTAAGACCATTGGGGAATCGAGGAGAACTTTTGTGTCACATCCTAAATGTCCAGGGAAAGGCTAATAATAAAGCAGGGAATTCCAATAAGCTAACCTTGCATTGGACAAATATTAATTTAGTGAGTCGGGTTCTGAAGTGGTGAAAATGAAGCAGGCCTGCAAAATTCCTCAGGGGGGCGCGCCTGGGTGGCTCAGTGGGTTAAGGCCTCTGCCTTCGGCTCAGGTCATGATCCCAGGGTCCTGGGATCGGGCCCCACATTGGGCTCTCTGCTCAGCAGGGAGCCTGCTTCCCCCCCACTTCTCTCTGCCTGTCTCTCTGCCTGCTTGTCATCTCTGTCAAATTAAAAAAAAAAAAAAAAGAAAAAATCCTCAGGGGCCAGGAATCTGATACGATGGTGAGGTCTCTATTGATCTGTCCATATTCTTTGCAATGGTGAATGCCAATCACCCTACTCCAGGGCACTCCCAACTGTCTCACCCTCATCTTAGCAGACAGGCATGTGAATGTCAGGGTACATGACATGGGCTCAGTGGATGGCAGACAAGAAGCATGACTCTTCCCCCTGCAGCCTCAGAGAAGCATTACAAGAATATATGGCAACAAAACCCCAAACCTGAATTCTCAGAATATAAACTGAACTCTTCAGACAATTATTCAGATCCACAGTGATTCAGGATATTCCCGTAAAATATGGTGTTTTCTCTCTCCCTCATTTGCCCCATTGAGTCCATGGCCAATGCTTCTACCCACTGCTCTTCACCACAAATATTAAGCAGACTGTAAGGACACTAGGAACATTCTAGGGTACACAGGTTTCTGGCTCACTATTAGACACTGGGGGTAGATCCTAGTCACCCATAGTTTCAGACATGACAGGGACCCATGGAGATCCTACCGTCATTGCTGAACAGACAGCTAATGAGGCAGAAAGGAACTATGATGGGAGCTTCCAGAAGAGTCAATGTCAACCCAGGAAAAAGTCAATGAGCCAGAAATAGCTGAGGCCTTTCAGCACCAGTCACCCTGAATTGATTCTGAGTTACAGGCACGAGGAGCTGGGCCTCAGGTCCAACAGGGTCATTTACTCAAAAGAACATGAGGCTTGAATCTTTAAATATTATTAAACTGATAATCTCCCAAAGGCTGTTAAAGGAGTAAGATGTCAGTTCCCATGCAAATCTTACAACAGTCATTAAGAAAAGACTTGGGTAGGAAAAGGGAAGATTTTGGCTTTATGACTTTTCTTGGGTTCTCATTCTTTATGTCTGGTGGATGAATGTTGATCTTCCTGCTTTTTATTCATTCAGATCTCACCTGGCTGAAATCCCCTTGATGGTACTGCACCAGGGTATCTTTCTCTCAGAGATCTCCTCTCTCAGCAAAGACCGTAGACTCTGAGGATTCAAAGAGAACTGAGAAGTCCCCCGGACCACCTGCCCACCAGTGCAAGGATTGCCTGCGTATCTTTGACAGGAGTCATCCAGCCCCATCCTGGGTGTCTCTGGTGTAAGCATATGAAATGTAGCTTCTTAATCTATGGAAACTGTATACATTCCTGAACTTGTCCTCCCTCTACTTTAAGAGCAGTGAATCCTCACAACACTTTTGAAACTGGCCTCCACTCATGGCCATTCTGGAGGGTCCATTCTTAGTGGATTACTGAATAATTGCCCTCTGAGTCAGGATCCCCCTCCATGCAGGATTAGATAATGGAGCAATTCTCCTCAGGAAGGCACCTTGAGGTGATTGCATTGTAGGGAGCTTGAAGCCATGAGTATTATCTAGAATTTCGATCTTTTTCGATGGCTAAGCCTCAAAGTTGGGGAGAAACTGATCTCTGAGCCTATAGAGTAGGAACATTATGGAAGAAACTGCATGAGATGTTAGTGAAGGGAAAAGAAAATATTTCCTACCCATTAAAGTAAAAACCAAGCACTGAATCTGACGCCAGATGTAGTGAAGTATAAGAAAAGCCAAAAGTGCTAGGCAGATTACTAACTCCTGTGAGAAAACAAGAAGAAAGCTTCACTGATATTATCACAAATAATATTTTCAACATCATTTAGATGGATTTTGCATTTTGGTTTGGAGCCCTATTACATTCTCCTATTATGGGGTTTTGCACCACTGTTTTCAGAAAACAGCTCCTCCTGACTCAACTTCCACTAAATATGTAAGAAATCCAATTAACTTTCTAGAAATAAAGTTCCCATAAATTTTCTAGAAAACTTTACATTCCATTTTTAACCGAAAAACTACCTCAAAATGTTTCCTTATACCAAACATTTATTTTTGTCATTTTTCATTTGTGAAAACAAATATATGACACAAAAACATGTTACTTTTCAGTTTTCCAAAAATAATTTCCCTTTATTACCTCATGAAAGTAACGTTCACTTGAGCAGATACAGTCAAGAAATAAGTAACTTTCTGATTTTTTGAAAAATGCCATTTGTTGTTCATTATCACCTGATGACCCGGCGCATGAAACCAGGGAGTATTTCTTTGATGTCCCATGTCTGGGCAACATTCATGTCCACACATCATTTAAGAATGTTCATAAGGATGGAACAACCATGAGCATTCTTCCTTGTGAAGAAATTATAGAATATTTCTTCTAGGGAGTCTTTGAGCCATGCAAACATCTAACCCGTTGTAGGAAAAAGACATGGCCTTCAAAGTACATTATAAAAAGGAAAAAAACAAAAGGTATTAAGTGACCCTTAAAAAAAGCCTAATGTAGGAAAGCCTGTGCTTTACTGCTCCCAGCAGCTCATGTTTAGGAAGCTCTGGTTTAATCAAGCCAAGACTATCTTTTTCTAGCCATAGCCAACACACTCCCAGAATCCATGAGTCAATCAGAGGTTATTTTCCAGAGCGGACTTAGAGCTCAGTTCAAACGTGCTCCTTCACGGTTGCTGGGAATGACACAAAAGCTTGGGATTAGTTTTTGGAAGCCCAGGGAGGACACAGAAAAGGCTGAGCAAGGGCAAGTGGCCTTGGCAAAGGGAAACCTGGGCCAGCAGCCAGGCACCGCAGACAAAGCAGCTTCCGACTGCATGCGTCGGGGTCCGGTGTGCTTGGACCCCCTCCCCCGGGAAGCCAGGTGTGGGGTCACCTCATAGAGTTAAGTCAATCTGTTTTCTTTTTTGTTTTACCAGACTTAAACAAACAAACAAACAAACAAGCCCACATTGGGGGATGAGTTGTTTCTGCATTTTCCCCACAATTAGGGTTTCTTTCTGCCCCTTGGGAAGCCCTTCTTTCTTGCTGTGACCCCAGCAGGACGCTAGGTGGCATGGGGGAGCATTCCAACACGAGAGCATCAACACTAACCTGAGAAGTAGCAGCAGGTGAACTAGTTTCCTTACCACTCACTGCTGCCCTCTCACTGGCGGCAGCTTCTGCCACTTCTGCCTTCTGCACATTCGAATCCTCAGAACCAGGAGGCCCTATGTGTCCCAGACTTTCGCTCCCTGGGGTGGAAGGTGGGTTGGTGGTGGCTTTCCGGGTTTGGCCTTTATACCAACTAGGATAAAACATTGGATCCGCAGGGTCCGTTGCTGCAGGGACTGGAGTTTCAGACTCTGTGGTCTGCTGAGAGCCAGTGGGCACAACCTCCCCCTTAATTGGGGCAGATACATTCAAAAGTAAAAAAAGAGGAAGAAGAAGAAGAAGAAGAAGAAGAAAAAGCAGTCGGTTTTAGTTCCCTTTGGGTTTGAAAACAGTGAGCTGTCTGTGCAGTGCCTGGTTTAACACATGTTCAACTTGATCCCACCCTCTGCGAGCGCTCAGGGAAGGAGAGCTGCCCAGGCTCCTCTGTCTGGGCACCTTCATGTGCCCACTCTTGTTTTCTGTGCTTGTCCTTCTCTAGATGGTAGGCTGAGACAGATAGCAGATGCCTGGAATGAAGGGTGCTTATAAAATATCTGATAGAGGAGAAAGGTTGATCTATTGGCCACGATTAATATTTTGACATTCCAGGTGGGCTCACCAAACCTCTTTTCTAAAATCCCAAATTGATCTTATTGATCAAATCCACCTCTCATTTAGTTACCACACCTCTTTCAAACTCAGGGCAATTGGTATACCCAGAATTTCAAGAGTCGAGGAACTGTAAATGATCTTTTAGCCTGGTTTCCTATGGAGACCAAATATAGAATGTAATTCTTTAATTCAGAGTTTCCCCTCTGACATTTTGTTTCTATCGATACTTTCAATCCACTTTGAAAGCAGGTGCAAAACCAGGACACCTTTTTGATGAATCTACATTGCCCACAGACTCCATAAGTCGAGACCTTTCTGCTGAAGGTGTCGTGAAAGGCTTGAAAACTGGATAGTGACATCTTAGAAACTAAGGGTCAGCCATACAGATACAGGATTTGGGATGAATTATCTCCTAGGAAATCTCTATAACAGTTCTTTTGACATACAATCTCATCGAATGACAGATATATAGAAAATTAGATGTCATTTGTTTGCCCACTTACTGAAAGGTGTGACAGGGATAAACTAGCATGACTTCTCTATTTACTACCTTTATTATCTACAGAAAATTCAAAGTTCTAAAGGTATACTCATTTTATTTCTCACCCTGTACCCCACAAATGGTTTCAGAGCAGACCCAATCTTCATGACATTGGATCTCTATGAACTAACATGTTACACACATAGCCCTCTCCCCTGCACACAAAATTTCCAAAGATTGCCTCAGATTTGAGGGTGCTATTGGTGGGAAAATTGTGTTAAACTCAGTCTTACCAACCAATGATAACAACGAACTGTTGAATCACTTAGTGGACCTCCCCCCCTGACATTGTGACTGCTCTGAATTCTTTGTCTTTCACATACAAATGTCTGGCCTAAAGCTACTCTTTTCTTAAGGCAGAATAAATTGTTTGGGCGGTTCAGCAAGGAGGCACACCTGTGCGACCTGTGGGAGGGAATTAGTGAATGGTTACCTGTGTCACTGGGACATCTGCAGTGGGTGGCAGGGCTGGAGGTGGCTCTGGGGAGAAAACTGGAAGTGCCCCTGTGGCAGCCTGGAGCTCTGAGGCCAGCTGAGAGGGCTCCAAGGCTTTCTCTGGACTTTCCTCTTCTCCTGATGACTCTGTTCGAACATTTTCTACCTCTTCCACTTCTGCTTCTTCCCCTTCTCCTTCCCCTCCTTCTCCTTCTCCTCCTTCTCCTTCTTCTCCTTCTTCTTCATCTTCATCTTCTGGTAAGGTAATGTGTTCTTAAAATCATTATAATTACCACTGCAGCTATGAAATCAATTAATGGCCAGTACTTAACAGCCCAGATTAAAGTCAGGCTAGGGAAATCTTCTCCATCAGACACTGGACTATGGCCCAAATATGCCACATTCTAGTTAAATGTGGACAGGAGAAATGTGAAGATGGGCCCAACCATCTCCATCCTCCTTGTTCCCCTTCCCAGTACAAAGTGCAGTCCTTACTACTACTGTGAACTATGTACCTGACCCCCACACCTAGAGCCTGGCCACATTTATACCATACTTTGTCACATCTGCAAGCTCCTGGAGGGCTGGGGCTGAGATTTTCACTTGTTTATCTGTGTCAAATTAAATGGAAATACAACTCTCTTCCCTTTCTCAGAAAACATACAAAACCCTGTCTTGTTTTAATGCCTTACCTCCTCTGTTCAGTGAATGCTGACTTATGCCACAGTTAATGCCATGACTCTTTTTCTAATACATTGATCTTAATATTCCCACAGGAAATATTAAGAAGAGATGACAATATCAAGTAATTTTTTAAAAAAGATACATCCTGAAGACTTGCTTCTAAAGTTACATCTGGGGGCGCCTGGGTGGTTCAGTGGGTTAAAGCCTCTGCCTTGGGCTCAGGTCATGATCCCAGGGTCCTGGGATCGAGCCCTGCAATGGGCTTTCTCCTCAGCAGGGAGCCTGCTTCCCCCCTCTCTCTCTGCCTGCTTCTCTGCCTACCTGTGATCTCTATCTATCAAATAAATAAATAAAATCTTTTAAAAAAATAAATAAAGTTACATCTGTATACACTGATATAGCTTCCTGGTTATTAGTGGTCTAGTCAAGGTGTCTTGTCATCTAGATGACCATGATGAATCAAGACCATCAATAACCTTGGTCAGTTCCAAGGTTATTTTCCTCTTTTCAATTATTTCATGAGGACTAACTTCCAAGAGGGTGGTCTCTGGGCCAAATGGTAGAGATGCATTTATAACTTATGAAATACAGCTGGTCACAGAGAGCCAGTTTTGTTTCCAGGTGTGACTTATTCTGTGACTCATTACTATTCTTGCCCTCTAAAGTCCGATTGAGTGGATGTGCTACAATATCTCTCCAAATGTCTTCTACATTTTATTTTTATCTCATCCTTAACCTTGCACTTGATAACACTTCACAGCACTGTGGTTGACGCCTCGTATAGGGTTGCTGTTGAGACATCATCATCACCATCAATTATTAAGTGTTTGACTGCTCAGAGTCAAATGCCCAAAAATGGCATTCTAATGGGCACTGTGCTGTGCAAAGTTAAACACTGTCAACCAACTATATGACTCTGTAATGAAATAGAGTTTCACATTGGATTATGATCCTTGTATAATTGTCGACATCTATTCTGGAGGTGATCCTGAATCCCCTCTTTCTCCTGCTGAACCCAGCTGCAGCTCTCACACACCTGCAACTTTGGCCAAATGGTCACAAGAAAAACAAACCTCTGTAAAAATCAATTTCACGGATGATTTTTTCTTCTCTATTGAGGTTGACTGTGAAGTGGTTCATGTTCTCATAACCATGTTCTATTTTCTCCATCTGAAATGCCTTCGATGCTTCAGAAATTCTACAACAAAGACAAGTTGCCACTTTCTGTCACAGTCTAATGTTTGATAGCCTCGGGTAAAAATGAAAAGTATGCATTTTTCCATAAAATGAAAATTACTTACTTTTGTAACAGGGTTTTGGCATTCTGTGAAAGCAAACAAAAGACAGACTTACTTAAATTCTTTTCATCAAAGACTTAATTCTTTCCTCTGCTGACTCTGAAAATCCCAGAGCTTAGTTTCTAAATGCTATGAATAACTGCTGTTTTATACCAGAACCTTCTTATATTAAGTGATGTCATGGTCCCTTAAATATATGCTTATGAAGTTGTTTAAACAGATGGAGACATGAACACATAATGAGCTTATATTGTAGTTGGTAAAATAAATCAAAATGAGATATACATAAAATAACAAAAATATGATGACAACTACTTCTCCAGCACCCACCTTCTTGATTAGTTCTATTAGGTACCAAAAGGAGACTTACCTGCAGAAACACTGCCATTTCTGGCTCATCCATGAACTGGATTCCTGATTCAACCAACTTTGACACATTTTCCAAATGATCAGAATACTTTTTGATCAGAGCACGGACATGTTCCAGTTTCTCCTCTTGGGTTCGTGTAATGACTTGGGTCATTTCATTTTTCCTCTCCTCCAGGATGCCATACAGGTAATCAAACTTTTCACAGAGTTCCTGTTTCTGTTTTCTGCAGCATTCCTGTTAGTTGGGTTAGCTCATGTTAGAAAGTGTTTGAAAGAGTGTCTATTTGGCAAAATCACCTGGAATGTTTTGGAGGATAAGAAAATTTGCATATATAGGGTATTTTTTTCCCTTCAAGCTGGTCCCTTAGATAGAGATTCCCATTGTGTTGATACTTTGAAAATCTCATATTTATCAAATTTGATGCTTAGACAAACCCAAATCAACCAAATTGACTAAATGGATCAATGACTTTTTCATTATCTTCTTTATAAATGGAGAATTTCATAGAAATTGGGACACATTTTTTAAAAATTATATATTGCTTAGATAGCTTATAGTTTTATATCTTGCTTTATGGTGAGTGTGTGTATATGTATGTGTGTGTAAGGAAAACACCATGATACTTCCTTATTTGTACCCTTCGGTCTCTCTGCTCCACCTACACTACTTCTGTCCTAGTTTCAGTCCTCGAATGGAGATTCTGGTTCTTCCCACTGGCCTCTGCATCTGGAATTTATTCAGGCAAACCCATACACTACAGCCAAATTCATTTTCCTGGAGTACATTTCCCTGCGGTATAGTGCTTTTTCTCTGACTACTCATTTTCCAAAGAATAATATTTTAACTTCATAACTGACTTTCCAGCTTTTCCATGACCTGGTTCCAGCTTTCCTTCATAGTACTGTACTATTCTTCATCGCAATGCCCTTTATCCAGCAAAAACAAACCACTCACTTTCTTTGCTCATCATTTCCCCTCCTTTTAGAATGCTCTTTCCCAATTCACAGTTGCAAACTCTAAGTAATTCTTTTTTTTTTTTTAAGATTTTATTTATTTATTTGACAGAGAGAGACACAGTGAGAGAGAGAACACAAACGGGGAATGAGAGAGGGAGAAGCCAGCTTCCTGCTGAGCAGGGAGCCCCATACGTTCCTCCATCCCAAGACCCTGGGATCATGACCTGTGCCGAAGGCAGACGCTTAAGGACTGAACCCAGGTGCTCCAACTCCAAGTAATCTTAAAGACATTGTTGGAATACCAGTTCTTCCATAAAATGTTATTTGATTTCTATGACTGAATGCCATCTTTTAGTTCTTCTGAAATCCCATAATATTTACCACTACTGGCATATACCTCTATCCACCTAGTCCTCTATTTATCCAATACTGTCTAAGACAAGGAAATACTGGATCTGGTCTTTGAGTCCCCAAGAGAAAGAGAGAAAGGCTGTATGGGAGATTAGACTTGTGCATTTCCATTGTGTGGCTGAAACACCTCTAGTACCATTTAACTTCCTTCTCTTTGAGTCCATGTTAAATCATAATTAATTTTGCAGTTGGCCTGATCATTGGCCTTTTGGTTTTTCAAGCTCCAGTAAGCTTGGTGTGTATATATGCCACTTTCCTTGGACCTGACCATCTCTGGGTCCAGGACCTTTACAGCTGAAAACAGGCTTTGAGACACCAATGATCCAACATAGCTCTCCTGTCCAGTGGAGGCTTCTTGGGAATCCATCCAATTTATCTGACATCTCTGACCTTTGTGACCCTTATTACATGTTCTTTCATTTTAGTAAACACTGGTTTCTTGTGTGTCAAGTATCACTTTTTTCCTATACATGAGTTTCTTAAATATCTAAAGTATAGGCTCTTTAAGGATAGAATCTGGGTCTGCTTAGGACATATACCACTTTGGACAACAGATATTCAGTATATATCTGTTAAACAGGTTTTTTAAAACTGTTTCATTTTCCCCCAATTTCTCTACTATTCTTAGAGTAAGGGGAAAAAATGGATAACCTAACCAAATAGTCGATTATGAAGATACTCCAAAAATGTGCAGGAAATACACCTCACTCGACTGCTTCCCTTGGAACACAATCAATTCTCATCATATTTTCTGTACAATAATAATGCATGAAGGAGGTAGGCTGAATAATTGAAATATGTTAAAGATTTATAGCAGGTTTTATGGAAGTTTATGGGTGCAAGACATTCAAGAGGAGCAGGGGTGGATGGCTCAATAAGAGCTTCTTAGTGGAAGCAATGCCCACTTTGGCCATAAAAGATGAGCGGGAGCAGAGGAGGTGTGAGGAGGGGATGAAAATCCATGGAGCCTTGACAGTTGTCAAGGTAATAGGACAAAAGCCCACAAAGCATGTCCAGACCTGGAAATCACTGGGCTTGCCAAATTTGCATCCATTTCCAGCCCTTTAGCTTGAGATCTGGACCATTATGAGGCCTCAGAACTGAAGCCTGTTAGTAGCTTCCCAATCAAACTTTCTTTCCCTGTATTGCTTTCCATTCAAGCTCACAGGAAACCTTGTGCTCACCGCATTCCTGAAATATGCCTCTTTGATGTTCAGAAGCTCTAATGTTTACTGCAAACATTTGATGGTTTCTAGCTTATTTTTCTAAAAGAAGTTGTACACTTGAAACATGTATAACAAATAGTAAGATGTGATACTGGTAGAATACTTTTGTTTCTGAAAAGTTTTCTTCCATAGGATTTAATATGTGTGAGAACATTCAAGCTCACAAAACCCAAATTATTTATAATGAGAATGATGTGAAATGATGTGTCATGGCTAGTGTTTTATCTAGTGGTTTAAATGAAATAACCACTTTATTTTTACGTTATTTTCAATTCCAAGTATATTTTATTTCCATTGGGTTTTCTAGTAATTTTGACCATATTAATTTTAATAAAATTACTATCATTTAATAGAACTATTATTTACTTATTTACAATATATCAAATGCTACCTTATGCACAGTTCATGCTTGATTATTATTATTATAAAACTACAAGCTGTATAAAACCCTTTTAATATTACCTGACACATTATGGGTACTATATCAGTGCTTACTAAACTTAGGTCTAATTATCCTTAATTTGAATTATTAAGTTGTGGAATTTTGAAGTCACAGGGAATATCAGAAGTAACCTGCTCCAGAGCAATCATTTCACTCATGTGGAAACTGAAGTCCAGCAGAGTTAAATCATTTTCTCAAACCATTCTGCCATTTATTGCTGGTGTCTGGCCTTGAGCCAAGGGTTTTGAACTCCTGGGTCACAACTACTCCTACCATAACCTGCTGTGAGACACTTGAAGGAAACTTGAAAAAAATTTTATGTGAACTACTGTGAACCAAATATATGTCTTTTAACAAAGCGACTCTGCAGCAAGTAGGCTCTTAAAGAAACTTCAGATTGTTTCAGAATTATATTCATTAGTTCACTCCTTCAGCAAAACTCACTAATTACTATGTACCAGGCATTAGAAGATCTAAAAACCTGCCATGATTTTTCCAGTGTTCATGAGAAGGGTAGAAAAATGATCAGATTTTCTAACAATAAAAAAAAAAACCTTCTTTTTTTTCCTCTTGCTTAATGTGCCTTTAGTATAATTCAATGCAAAATATGAGTCAGAAAAATATGTTTCTAAAAAAGGAAAAATATGCTTCTTTCTTGGAATTATGAAACTTGTACTTACAGACTTATAAATGAACCAGAGATGTTCAGGTTAACCTAATGTCAAATTCAAATGAGAAATATTCCATGAAATTAAAATTCTTTTATTTTTTTCATACTCTCCGATGTAGAAGCAATACATGAGAGACTAAGGTGGGTGCCTTTCTATCCTTCTGGACCACAAGACCTTCAAAGTGCTACAAAAGTCAGCTAACAACAAACACCTCAGCTTATCGACTCACCCTCTGAGGTAATTAAGGAACAGGTATATGTTACAGAGGAAAAATATTTTCTTAGAGGCCAGCTTGCTAGTTATAGTGATTACTCTGAATTTCAGCACCTCCTGCGCCTTTGTAACTATGGACCTGAAATGCTTTCAACAGTGACTTTCCAGTAACCTGAAAAATGGAATGGGAAAAATGTGGACTTCTGCCTCATCAAAATGTCTGCAGGTAGCATACTTTAAAGGATGATTGTTACCTGCAAAAGCATGATAGCAACCATCTCTATCTGTTCTCCACAAAAACTTCCTCACCTCAAAGATTTTTTTTTTCCCTTTTAACATTCTTTTGCACTTATTTCAGTTAAAAGGCTTGGTTTAAGAAAAAAAAAGGCTTCAGTAAAAATTCTTGGCTGTGTACCTTCTCCTTACCCCCACTTCTCTGGATGGTAATTGAATCAAGATACATACTTTTTGAACTCTGAAATTTATTTTTTCAAATATTCTCCATTTTCTTCCTTTTGATATCTGCAGTTCCCATATCCTGTGTGTGTGTGTCAGGGGTGTACACAGGGTCCTGTGTGAGTGTGTTTAGCGACTGAAGTAACTTCCATCACAAAAGCACTAGGTATTTGCCTCCAAGTATTTTCTGATGTGTAACCCCCACTGGAACATGACCTACCTCCTGGGTCTGCCAAGACTTAGAAAAACCAAAAGAAGTCGTCTGTAATCCTTGAATGAAAATAAGATTCATCTCTTCTCTAAGGTGAACCCAGTAGGGATGCAATATACCAAAAAGGGGTGACTTTATAAAGGGAAAACTGTGGTAAAATGGCAAAATGATGACAGGTGGAATATCTGTTTCCAACCAATGTCATAATATCTGGCTAAAAAGAAAAAAGACCGGGTAATCATTTGGCCATTTCCTTAGACGTGAGTAGGTAACCTTTAATATTTATCTAAAACCCATTGTTTAGCTGTTGCTTTCACAGAAATGTTAAAACTGACAGATTCAGGGCACCTGGGTGGCTCAGGGGGTTAAGCCGCTGCCTTTGGCTCAGGTCAGGATCCCAGGGTCCTGGGATGGAGCCTTGCATCAGGCTCTCTGCTCAGCAGGGAGCCTGCTTCCCCCTCTCTCTCTGCCTGCCTCTCTACCTACTTGTGATCTCTCTCTGCCAGATAAATAAATAAATAAATAATCTTAAAAAAAAAAAAAAAAAAAAAAACTGACAGATTCTAATTTTGAGCCTTCTTTATATTTTAGTGATGATAAGATATAAGATATGCAGCTGCAGAAAGAAGCATTCCAAGGGAAAAAAAT